GGAAAAGCTTCTCTCGTGAGGGACGAGAGATGCCCTAACCTGGAGTCCTGAGTTGAACTCCACCACTCTTCGATTTGTTGTGGTTTCAATCTTATTTTACATGTATGAGTGTTTTGCCTGCATGTACGCCTATGCAGCATTTACATGTCTGATCCTTGTCGAAACCAGAAGAGGACAGCAGATCCCCCAGAACTGGAGTTAAAGACGGTTGTGAACCACCATGTGGGTGCTGGGAATTGAACCTAGGTCCTCTGCAAGAGCAGCAGGTGCTCCTAACTGCTGACACCTCTTTGTTTTTGTTCTTTCATTTTTTTTTTAAACCAGAAAGTTTGGCAAGTTGTGGGCCACATACCAAGTTCAGAAATGTGCAAATGAGAATACACACACATCCTAGAACCAATTAGCTGATTTTGTACTTTATTCCCATCTCATATCAACTGTGAACAATTGAGGTCATCCCCCAAATAAATACTTAATTTTTTTCATTACGTGTATCCATTGTACATGGTCCTGTGTTTCATAAACAGGAAGCTTACCTAATCACTTACATTTGTGTGTATTTGCATGTGTTTATGTGCACACACATACACACACACACACACATGCTCTGCAGATTGAACCTAGGGGCTCATGCATTCTATACACACACTTTCCCACTGAGCTGCTCACCAGGTCTCAGGACATACCTTCACAAAGGTCTGGGAACAGGGACTAGAGAGATGGCACTTAACAGTGCTGACTGCTCCAGCAGAGGACCTGGGTTCAATTCCCAGAATCCATATGGTTTTGGTTTCCAGCACCCTTGTTGCGTGGTTCATAATTACTGCCTGTAACTCTAGCTCTGGGGCATTTAGCGCCCTCTCCTGGCCCACACACATGTGACATACACTCTCACAGACACACACATACACATAATTAAAAATAAAAACTAAAAGTTCTGGGAACAGATTTTGTTTCTTGGAAGTAATACTTTCTATACTTATATCTATACAATATAAGCTTTGATATGTTTGGAGATAGACTACACTTCCAGTGTTCATACCAACAGCACAATAAAGTAAGCATTGCTGTGTGTTAACTGGAAACTACACTGTAGCCTCTAAAGCTGGGGGCACAAACAGGAAGCATTTAGCAACAGTAATTGATTGTACCCTACATTTACTTAACTAAATGCATTACCCATAGTCTCTATTTTGTACAAATTAAAGCCTCTCTGTGTCCTATGTCTTAAATTTTGTTTTCCAGAATTACTTGGTTTATTTTAAGTGTATTTTATGTTTTCAGTTAGCATATATGACAAGAAGATTCCTTAGGGAACCGTCACTAATACTCAGTGTGGTGGATGTGCTTTGGAACCTCTGGTCTGAGAGGTGGAGCGTGTCTGTGTCCATCGTCATCTCCGTTATTATCCACCCCACCACTGCTGCGGGCTAAAAAACATCATTACAGACTGGGTTATTAAAGTCGATCTGAAAGAGCAATGTGTTCTAAGCAACTGTCCCTGGATCTGCAACAGAACCCCGTGAATACCCTTCGTTACTCAGGCTGGGCTGTATCACATTTCCTCCATGCTTCTCGTGTGCCTGCTACAAGCTGGGCAGTGAGAGCCGGGCTTTAGGTGATCCTAGCTGGATCTAGGGATGGCGCCTCTCCTGATACAGGTAATGGCAACTTTCCTTTATAGGCTCATGCGTGTAAACAGGTCTGTGTAGCTTGGGAAAAGACTGTTAGAAGGTCTTATAACCAATGAGTTTTGAATTGATAGTTTTTAGATTTTTTTTTTTTCAGTTTTTGCAGGTTAATGCTCTTAGGGTGAAAAAGAAACTTCTTAAGAATGTCATTGTATTTCTCAGTTGTATAAGAGGGTTGTACAATAGCTTATGCTCTATCTCTTCATTTTATTTGAAATGGTTAAGAACTTGTCCCTGGGGTGAAAGTGATTTTCATTACAAAAACCTGGAAGATGAATTTATATTGCCGGTCTTTAAATATGATACCAGAGGGGGAACCTCAATATAAAACAGCAACTTTAAGCCAAAGTGCTTAAAACTTTGCTATGTGGGAGCAGTTTCTTTTAGACATCAGAGTTTATGGTGATATAGAAAATAGGAAACCAAAATGTTACGCGAATCTCCTAGCACGGCGATTCATGTCTCTCCTCCGAGGGAAGACAGCTCCGTCGTAGATTCCCAGATTCCTCAGAGTCCCCATGGCTCATCCCAGTGTGACTAAACTGTGTTAAAGGAACAGCTGAAAGCAAGTAGAGAACCCGGCTTAAAACGTAACAACATACGTAGCAGGGCTGCCCTGTGTTATGGGGAAGGCTGAAGACACGTAACCTTATATTTGCTTGTCGCGAGTAAGTTAATCTATGACTATGTTAGGTTTTTAAAAGCTTTAAATTTTTTTCTCCATATTAATAAACTCTGGTAAGAAAAACCAAGAGGTTTGTGGTACAATATTAGTTTAATTGTTACTAATGAGCAAGGGAAGAACTAAGACAAAATCTAGAATAAGAGTTTGCGATATGATAAACAAAACACCTCGTAGTTGCTGAGTAATACCTAGATACCTAATACTCAGCTTTTTAAAAGAGCCAAAAATGTGTACAGTATTTGTTTTTGAGAATGTCGAAGGGCAGAAATTCTTGGCCTCTTCTGTAGTTCTTTCATATTTTAAGCAAATTCTAACATCTGGTTAGAATACCCAGTTTCACTGTCCTACCGACTCTGGTCAGTCTTTGAGTGTGGAAGCTCTGGGGATGGGAGGACAAAGGCAGAGACGGGGGCAGCTGAGAGACAGCAGCAAGGAGCAGGGAGAGGGAGAAGAGCAACCAAATCAAGTAGGTATTAAAATGCCATGCAGAAATCTGTTACTTTATATGCCAATTTTAAATTCAATTAGAAATGTCTTTTCTTTTTTTTTTTTTCCTTTTTTTCTTTTTCTCTCCCCCCCCTTCTCCCCCCCCCCCCCCCCCCCCGAGACAGGGTTCCTCTGTAACTTTGGAGCCTGTTCTGGACCTAGCTCTTGTAGACCATGCTGGCCTTGGACTCACAGACAGAGAGAGATCCGCCTGCCTCTGCCTCCCAAGAGCTGGGATTAAAGGTGTGCGCCACCACCGTCCAGCTTCAGATGGAAATTTCTAAAAGCAATCTAACCAGATAACTCAGCTCTTCCTGTGTTCCTGTCTTTCCTTAATAATAATTTTTTCTCCCCTCATAAACCTGGTAATCAAAGGTACAGTGACTCCTCCGATGTGACCCAATAAACAGATTTCATCTTTCTCCAATGCGCTATAGGAAGTCTCAAGATGACTGAAGAGGATAAAGATCTCTTAGTGAGTTCTACGAGGGCAGGAAGATGTGTGCACTTTGCACACTTCTTTATACATGCTGCCTGGTACAAGATCGAATTAGGTAAATGTTTATTGAACGAACGGATGTAAAGAAACTTACAAACAGTTATGTGATTTAGTAATAAAACTAAATTTTAAACCAATCTATTTCATATATTTTATGTCTCAAGAATGTAAAAATGATCCTTGGGAAAATAATCCCCGCCTTTAATCCCAGCACTCAGGAGGCAGAAGTAGGCGGATCTCTGAGTTTAAGGCCAGCCTGGTCTGCAGAGTGAGTTCCAGGACAGCCAGGGCTACACATAGGAAAAAAGAAAAAAAAAAAAGGGGGAGGAAGGAAGGAAGGAAAAAAAATTCCTGGCATTCAAGACTGAATTTCGGAATGTAATCTTCTGACCAGACAGCAGTGTTAAACCAACCTTTAATCTGTACTAATGGAGCTAATGTTTTTCAAAACTCGTGGCTTTGGAGCCTGTCCTGGAACTAGCTCTGTAGACCAGGCTGGTCTCGAACTCACAGAGATCCACCTGCCTCTGCCTCCCTGAGTGCTGGGATTAAAGGCGTGTGCCACCATCGCCCGGCCTAATAATAAGAGTTTATTGTACTGTTTCGGTAGTCATTTTAACCTGACCAATTTTGTGTGTGTGTGTGTGCGTGTGATGTGTGCATGATATGTGTGTCCACACACGTGTGTGCGTGTGTGCATGTGTGTGTGGTATGTGTATGTATATTTGTGTGTGGTATGTATGCTTGTGTGTGTGTGGTATGTATGTGTGTCTCTGTGTGTGTGTGTGCATGTGTACACATGCGTGTGAGTGCAGTGCTGGAGGAAGCCAGAAACATCGTCTTGGAGGTGGAGTTACAGGTGGTTGTGAGCTTTCTGACACGGGTTCTGGTAACCAAATTCAGGTCTTCGGTAAGAGCAGTCAGGGCTCTCAACTGTGAACCATCCTTCTAGTTTCCTTTTTAAAAGAACGTTTTTTAATTTTAAAGTTACATTTATTTGTGTGTGTGTGTGTGTACATGCAAAAGTTTATTTTTTTTCACCACTGGGTCCCAGGCATTGAATTCAGGTCACTAGCGAAAGCCTTTACCCATGGAGCCATCTTGCTAGCCCTCATTTAACTTTTAAGCTTATCCAATTCATGGGATTTTAATTTAATTTGTTTATTTTTATAGGATCTCACTATGTAGCCCTGGCTGGCCTGGAACTTACTAGGTAGACCAGATTAGCCTGGAACTCACAGAGATCTCGCATCTGTCTCCTGAGTGCTGGGACTAAAGGCACGTGCCACCACATCTGACCTAATTTTTGTTTTATTTTTGTTTGTTTGTTTTTCGAGACAGGGTTTCTCTGTAGTTTGGAGCCTATCCTGGAACTAGCTCTTGTAGACCAGGCTGGCCTTGAACTCACAGAGGTCCACCTGCCTCTGCCTCCCGAGTGCTGGGACTAAAGGCAGGAGCCAGCCCGTCTCGAGGTTGTGAAGACAGTCGTTTAAATGTGTTGTTCCTGTATTGATTCTCGAGCCAATGGAGTTTTCCTCTATTTTTTTTTTGTCTGTGCTTTGGAATTAGCTCCCTGTGGACAGTTTTAAAAAGCTCTTGGCTTCAAGTTGTCAATTTCCGCTTTGTATTTCCTTCTCAGTGTCTTAGCAGATAAATGGAAGTCAGATTTCCATTGACTAAAATTAAAGATACTGGACCAATGGGATGGCTTAAAGGGCGAAGGTGCTTCTGGCAAGCTTGATAATCTCCGTTTGACCCCCACATCCCATAAGGTGGAAGAAGCCAGCCAGCTCCTGAAGCCAGCCCTTCATCTCCACAGGTACACGGTGGTTCCTGTGCACCCCCTCTACATGCCCCGCACACAAAAACTCACCAAGATAAACATACCTGTTTTTTTTTTTAAATTAATAACAGCAAAAATGTCACATTCTGATGCGCCTTTAAAGTAATGCCATTTTCTTTGACAGGTGGAGTGTGATATAGCTCATTTACTATTAATTCAAAATGTCAATCAATAAACACGCCGGGCTTCCAGCTGTAAATGAAATTCTGTAGGTAGAAAAATACCACTGCCCCGGGGCTCCCGTAGGTGCTGTCCCGCAATGGAATCCCTTTGCTCAGTCTTTCTCCTGTCCAATCAGGCGGAATGTTTCACAGGCACATGGTTTATACAGCTCAAAATAACTTGGGACCCGTGAGCTGACAAATGCTCTTGGCCGCGGTGGTGACAGGTTGCCCAGCTTCTAACAGCCATCTTCACCAACACTAAGGTTAACTCGGAGTGCTCTATGGACGGCTGCTCTCTCTTTCCAAGGGCGTGAAGACTCTCCCCTTTCTCCCGTGTTTTCACCCGAAACTTCTCCTTGGATAATTGTCATCTCAGAAGAAGTGAGCCTGGGTTGGACATCCTCATCTGGGTCAACTAAAAAAAAGCAAGGTAATATCCAGATTTAAGTTCAGAAAGTGTGTTCCGGCAGTGGGTTGCTGACTCTGGAGAAAGGGACATTTCAGAGAAGTAATTACTGCTCCTTAGAGCGAAACCTAGGAGAACTTTCTAATTATGCCTGATGAGATACACAGTTAAATGGAAAATAAGGCTTTCTATTCCAAAGCTTTTGGACCGGGATGAGACTCACGGAGATGGTATCCCATTTGAGTCCCTGTTTGGGTTCTAAGGAACAGTACTTCAGGGGAGGAAGCGGTGGCAAATCTGACTGACATTTTCTGCATACGCACCAATTATACTAATGTGTTCTACATGGAGAATATGTGTGCGATGCCTGCTTCCCTCTTAAAGGAATCAAATCTGAAATAGTATGACTCCATGGTTGAAGACTTTCATTTAAAACTTTTTTTTTTATCCTGTAAAAGGATCTGCTTGCTATATTTAGGGTTGGGAGATCTGCCCCCTGGATTAATGTACACAACAGCTGCAGAAAGTCCTGCTCAAGAGACACTGCGCTCTCTCTCTCTCCTTTCTCTCTCCTCTCTCTCTCTCTCTCTCTCTCTCTCTCTCTCTCTCTCTCTCTCCCTCCCTCCCTCCCTCCCTCCCTCCCTCCAGCTGCATCAGATACTTGATGGTCACTGGCAAATGTTTGGCCCGGTACACTGTACTCTTAGCTCTTAGCAGTAATTAGAGGCATAGCTCGAATATTTTTAAAACTATCCAAGCAAAGAGAAAAGGCAGATGACTCGGTGTCTCCAGTCAAAAGGGGTGCATGACGTGAAGAGATGGCATCACCTTGTCCACAGATCTTCGCGTGTGCGTTAAGAGTCGCTCCCGTCATGCCGTTTACGAGAGACGAAACTGCTAGTCTAGATTTTTTCTCTCTCCCAAATCGTTAAGGTAATTTGATCATTTTCACATTAGTAATAATTTAGTAATGAGAAAATGAATTGTAGAGGCTATGAATTAACTTTTGTCATAACTCTACAGTTTCTCCTTAGTCATACACTCAGAGGCACTTAAAATCTAAAGTGTTTTTCTAGGAAGTCAAGAATGTCTATATATGTATAGGTACTATCTCTGACATTCTGTTTGACAACAAGCAAAATCTTTGAAACCAAGGCCACCGCAGGAAATCTGAGGTACAGGGAGAGGTGGAGTGAGTAAGTGGACTCTGAAACAACTGGCCACTAGGCAATTCTGGAATGTCGTCTGTGTCCCCACTGATACTGCGTGGTTAAGGAGACTTACACTTCTGGGAGGGAGGCACCAACTCTTTCACACGTCTATAATTTGCTGCAGAGGCTCCTCACGTGCTCCTGTTACAGGAGCATACACCGTGCACACCCACGGGGATGGAGAGAGGGTGGGACAGGTAAGGCACGCGCTGCCAAGTGTCTGACCTGAGGTCCCTCCGCAAGACCCGCTTCACAGAAGGAGGGAACAGACTCTCAAAGGTTCTCTTCTGACCTCCACACCATGCAGTGGCACACACGTACAATATGGCAACAACAGTGTTGTTAAAAGGGATCCACTTAGAAATATAGTTTATGAATTCAGTAGGGGGTTATCATGCAGATCAGTTTTGGAATTGATGGAGATAGTTTTTACAAAAGAAGTTTTGAAAAGAAATGACCTAGAAAGGTTGTTTTTTTGTTTTTAAAAGAAAAAAAAACAGCCTTTTCCCCTTGCTTGGAGATGTTTTCATGAGTTTCTACCATTGTCTACAGAACATTTTTAAAACATTTCTAGAGTGTCACACTTGTCCTTCAAGGGAACAACCTGCCTGTATGTATGTGTATCACATGCGTGCCTGGGACCCTCAGAGGTCAGAAGACAGCAATGGAGCCCCGGGAAATGGAGCACTAAGGACTGAACCTCTCTGGGTCCACTGCAAGAGCAACAAATGCTCTTCTCTCCCCTCTCTCTCTCTCTCTCTCTCTCTCTCTCTCTCTCTCTCACACACACACACACACACCACACACTGTATGTGCTAAGTAGATGCTGTCCCATGGAACTACTCCAGCCTGCAAACACCTTTCTAGCCCTAGATCCCATCGCCAGGCCCTGAGATTTCCTGGTCACCAGTTGTCTGCTGTGTCTCAGCCTCAGTAGTGACTGGGCTCTGGCGTCAGGATCTCCTACACTAATCTCTTACAGGTTCTCTCACATCGGTCCCCTCCTGTGTACAAAACTGCTATGTTGCATAGCCAATCTCCCTTTCTTGAGCATCAGTGAAATCTTTCTTTCCTACTCCCTGGCCTCTATCAGTTTATGAAAGCAACGAGAGAACGGCCTGCTCGCCTTTGCCGTAGTTCCGTAGTTTCTCAAAGTGCTTTCACCGGCAGACTCTGGCCTTCGGGAGGGGTCTAATTAAGAGACCCTCCCTCACTGATTCTCCTTGTGTGGGCTCGGCTTTGCCTGATTCCAACACACGCTTTTTCATCTTTAAACAAACAAAACAGACAGACAACTTTTTAAAACCCAGGATCTTGCTGTGTAGCCCAGGCTGGTCTCAAACTCACAACCCTGCTCCCTCAACCTTCTAGGTGCTGGGATTGCATGTGTGTGCCTCTGGCTTCACCCCCGACGTATTCTCTTCCTGGGTCTGTTGTGTGGATTTGTCTGTGTCTGCTGTTTTTCTTCCTCCAGACCAGAAGCTCTTGAAGAGAATGAGCCTCATTATTTCTGGACTTTGGCACGTTCCCATATCTCGTCCCCACGTCTATCTACACGAATGCATTAAATTACCAATACCATTCACATTACAGATAGACTAGAAGGAAGACAAAGGGCAAGATGATCAATGTAGTAGCTATCAAGGGATAGGCATTGAAATGGTGTGAAAAGTGCATCTCACTGGCAGTCCAGTGTTTCACAAAGGTATTCCATACATAGTTCCCCAAGCAAAGGTACCTCCCAAAGGACTCGCTTCTGCTGGGGAATCCTGGGAAATCCTATCTGTAATCTCAGCACTCAGAAAGCTGAGGCAGGAGCATTGAGGGAGGCTAGTCTGAACTTAGTTCTTCTGTCTTAAGGGGAAAAAATTGGGGCCAGTGAGATGGTTCTGTAGGTAAAGGTGTCTACTGCCAAGCCCGGTAACCTAAGTTCAGTCCCTGAGACCTGTAGGTAGAAGGAGAGTGGCAGCTCCCACAGGCTGCTCTCCGATGTTCACGTATAAACAATGGCACACAAGAGTATGCAGCCATCTTTCGCTCTCTCTCTGTCTCTGTCTCTCTCTCACACACACACACATTCTCTCTCTAAATGACTAAAATGTAGTTTGTTTTTTTTTTTAAAAGAGCAGTACTCAGGAGGTAGAGGCAGGAGGATCAGAATCTCAAGGTCATTCTCAACTACAAATTGAGTTTGAGAATAGAGTTGTCTACAAGAGAACCTGTCAGAAAGACACAAAGTCCGAAAGAGAACATTGTCTCATTGTTCCCCTAATGAAAAATCTAGGCCTAGTAATTATGTATCAGCAGAAAATAGTTATCGTAAACGTGCACATTGCTCTATTTTTAAAGCGCTTTCGAGACAAACCTAGGAAGTAAGCAGGGGATTTGTGTGTGTGTGTGTGTGTCTGCAGTTGAAGGTAAGTAGCTTAAACTTTTCCTGTCCCAGAATTCTTCCTCAGTAACTATTAGACTGCTTTTGTGTCAACCTAGAAACTAGATTTGATTTTATGGGTTTGTTTTGTTTTTGTGGTGGTTTTATGAATGTGTTCTCCACACTGCACTGAATGTATAGCCGTGTTTAAAGAGCTGTGTGTCAAAGATATTTCCTGTTTTACAGTTTTATTAAGGTTAATTGACAAAAGTTGTGCTTGTTGATGATAGTAACATAGTGTTTTTATTATATATATGTATTGTACAGTGATTGAGTCAAGCTAATAATTACATACTTATATTTTGGCATACACTGTTGTATTGGCTATAGTTACCATGCTGCACGGAGAATCTCCAGAACATATTTCTTCTGTCTAATTGAGATTCTGGCCTCTTGCACAACCTCTCCTCACCTCCAACCTCTGTGGTTGTTTTTTTCAATTAAATATGTAATGATACTTGACGTGTTTAGCAAGTGCAAGGCTCTAAGTTCAGTCCCTAGCACCAAAAAAAATAAACAATTATTGATATTTCATAACCAGAAAATTCTAGCACTTACATTTAAATTTGAGTTATTTGATATTGGGCTTTGCCAGTTCTCCAGGTGATACCACAGCTTGTTTGTTTTCATAGCACTGGAGAGCCAACCCTGGACCTCCTGCATGGGAGACAAATGCTCTGCCACTGGACTAAGTCCCCAAAGTGCCAATTTAAATGTAAATGAAATATGACTTTATAGTGTGTGATCTTTTCAGCAACAGGGACATTTTAGAGCCTGGAGAACGTAGCACTGAGTTATAATGAGTCAAGAAATATGCCCCACGGGCTGGGGATAGAGCTTAATAATAGACACTTGCCCAGTGTGCTGGAGGTCCTGGGTTCAAGCCCAATCAGAGGGAGGAAGCAAGCAGAGTAGCGCAAACCTTTAATCCCAGCACTTAAGAGGCAGATGGGTCTTTATGAGTTTGAGTCCATCCTGGTCTACATAGTGAACTCTAGGTCAGCTAGGACTACACAGTGAGACCCTGTGCCAAGACAGAGAGGGAGAGGGGGAGGGAGAGGGAGAGGGAGAGGGAGAGAGAGAGAGAACTAAAGGTATTAGCATCAAGTTTTGTTTTTTATGAAGCAAACAAGTTCCCAGGGCAGATTCTCCTCAGGAAAAGTCGTAGGGAAAAGAAAGCACAAAGAAATTCCACTAAGTAAGTTCTCTGTGTGGCCACTGATTTAGGACTATAGTCAGATCTTTCCACACAACTGATGGGGCTGCTTCATTTCCAGCCTGGTCCAGTTCACAGACACCATAATGTCTTCTCAGGAGCAACTATTCATCTTATTTTGAAAGTGGCATAAAACTACATTTCGATTTACAAGAGACAAAAATGA